CCCCCCCCCCCCCCCTTACGTCCCGGGAGATGCCTACCGCTTGACCCTCCACAGTCGAAACCGGGCCTCGAGATACATACATATCTGCGCCGAACGAATCGTCGGCGCCGAACGCACAAAGCCAGAAAACCATTACAAACACGCACTATGAAAATATTATCGTGCCACCTTTTTTCTGTCGACCGTAATGCGCGCCGCGTGTGTAATACAACCGACGGGGGACGCGTATCTTATTTCAATGCAATTTATTTTTAGTATAAAATAGACTTTCTTGAGATTCTTATGGGATCATGGTTCCATTTTGTACGAATGCAGAGATGGTATATTTTTACTCTGCTAATTTATATGGCGGAACCGGTCGAATGTTAAGGACATATTAATTGTTGATAATTAATTGTTAATTGATACATTAATTGATTATTGTGACATGACTGACACATTAATTGTTAATTGATATTTTACAATTTGCCTGATTAGATGTTTGGTGAATTTTGTCGTCGATTTGTTACTATACAACAGCTATGCGATAATTGTTACATATAATAGCTAATATATAATATATAATATATAATATATAATATATAATATATAATATATAATATATAATATATAATATATAATATATAATAGCTAATAAATATGCACTATAAATACTATAGCATCTTAGAAATGTATCTAATATTATTCTTTGACAATTATCAAACATCATCGCGATGCTTTCTTTTTTTAGCTATTTTTCGCTTAACTTTCCTACACTTTTATAGCCAATTGATTCGAATGTAATAATAATTACTAGACCGCGAATTTTATGCATTTATTGAATAAATTGATAAGAGAAATAATGAAAACATTGGAAGAAGTTAAGAGTATTGTTACATTATTTTCAATCGATTAAAATTGTATAAGATACGCATTCTTATTCAATTCTTGTTTTAAACAATTACTCAACAGAATTTTTATTTCGCTTAAAGATCAGCGGTCCAAGAATTACCTCTAATAAACGTGCTGTTTCTATTATGGTTGTAGTACTAACGTCTTTCATAAATTATGACGCGACGTGATTCCGTCGAACTCTAACTATATAACTGTTTAAACGTATATAATTACTATGCAAATCAACAATGTACGTTGACTTTTTGTATTATCTGCGAACGGTGAATTACTAACGTTTCTAACCAGCACGCTTACGTACATGTAAATCGTACCGTGTGACGTTGGTTGAAACGTGAATGCATCGTCAAGAAAAGACAATCTTATTCGATATAAAAAATCGTTAACCCTTTGCACTCGAAGCCAATTTAACCGTAAATCTAAAATAATTTTTCTGACTTATGGTATTTCCATTTTACACGACGAAGTGCATTTTATGCATACGCGATTGAGTCTTGCGATGACTTGCGATGACAGTTATACTTTTAACAATTTTTTAAATTTAAACTTCATTAATATAAAAATTATCTTAGAACGTGAACTATCAATTTTAGTGGTGCCTCAGAGTCACCACTCGAGTGCATAGGGTTAATATAATGGCACTGGTCCTCGAAAAAAGCAACGAAGAACCAATTTTAGGTTTCAAAGCACCTAAAATTTTCAATTTAATTTTGCCCATCTACGACATGCGTCGACCTTTTCGTTCATCGTCCGCGAAACAGAACAGAATTAGAAATAAATCAAAATCAATATAAATATAATAAATATAAAAATATTGAATAAATATTGAATATTTTTTGTTGTTGCTTCTTTCACCAGAATTCAAACAGAATTTTGCCAGGGAAGCATCGCTAGGAGACGAATTATCTTCTGCCGGTGAAATCGATTCGAAATCGAGCGCGAGTTAAAGGACGCTATTTTCGGTATTTCGGTGTTTCTGAAATTAGCGCCGAGCAGCAACCTCTGCGTTAATGTATTCTTCGTTCGTTGTGGGTACAATTTTTCCCCGTTGTTTTTATTATTTTTTTTTTTCGAAACGGAAGCATTCGACTTGAATCGGTAACGAAGGATCATCACGGGATCACGTTCGGTATCGATTCCTATCGATGATACAGAATACTCGAACGGAGAGCTACGAAAAAAGCTTCTCGTTCGAAAGCAAACGCTGATGGACGTTGCTTTTTCGAGTGCTCGACGGCTGCAGCGTTATCGTCGCTCGAAATATTCTAACGACGGACGACGTAATATTACGTCGAATCTCGATTCTCGATTCGAAATAACCGAGCGGCTTCGGAAGAAATTTTACCATCGATTCGATCGACTCTCCCGAGCGCGCCCGTTACGCGAATATTGTCAATAACAATGTTACTTTTGTCTCGCCGAGGAGAAAGGGAACGGAACAAAGGAGCAGGAGCGACGACGAATAATTTAATACAATTCCGGGCTATTTTATAAAGCAATCGAGATCGATTAATACAAAATAGAGTAGACCGTTTTATAAATCTTGTTCGTTCGCTTCTGCGACACTTTGTGTTGCCCGCACGGAACTGATTTCTCTGTATAAATAAATTAACGCATTGGCAAAAATCGACAACGAGAAGGAAACCAATCAGAAAACCGCGCGCGCACGTTTTCACCGATCATTTGCATAATTTAAGGGAAATCGGATACGGGCAATTTTATAAGTGTTTTGCATATCGCCGGTTTTTGCATCGATAGCGGCGCGACATCGGCGAATCTAAATTTTAGAGGAGACGTTTATCAAAATTTACATTTCAGAAAACGCGAAATTACAGCCGATAGTGGCCACGGGCTGTCCATTTCATTAGAACCGATGGAACAATGAATATGCCGTTTCAACAGATAAAACTAGACACATAATGCACGATTCACGTGCAGTTTACAAATTTTCAATTCTTTTAGATAGCCGTTAACGCTATCACTGCGTAAGAGCGATATGGTCTACCGTATTTCCATAACAATTTAATGCTCCGGAATAATTAGAATTTCGACAAGATTTCTCTATCTGCGCTTATCGCAATTTATATGGAAACGAGCGCAAAAGTGACTAGTTTGCATCGCATTTTGAAAATAACGAAACCGTATTTACTCTGGGATGTTGCAGACATTCTGTTCGAAAACGCACCGGGATAGACAGATACGTTCAGTGATTACTTATAAAATTAATCTGTTGCACCGATTTTCATAAAAATAACACAATATTCCCGGATCGTGCGATGCTTCCCAAATAAGAAGTTAAAAAAAAATATCTAACGATCAAAAATATTTACCAAAGAGAGAGTTAACACTGCTTTTAGCAAAGAGGTGAAAAGACTATTTAAAAAATTTTAATTTATCTTTATTTATTTATTTATTGGATGTACACGAGGAGTTACCCACTAGTTCTAAAATCACGAAAAAGAAAGAATGAAAAGAAAAGAAAAAGTCTGATGTCAAATTTATTTCTAAGCTCGATCGTTGTTTACTTACAAAATTAATCCTTAACTGTTGCACCGATTTTCACAAAAATAACACAATATTCCCGGATCGTGCGATGCTTCCCAAATAAGAAGTTAAAAAAAAATATCTAACGATCAAAAATATTTACCAAAGAGAGAGTTAACACTGCTTTTAGCAAAGAGGTGAAAAAACTATTTAACAAATTTTAATTTATCTTTATTTATTTATTGAATGTATACGAGGAGTTACCCACTAGTTCTAAAATCACGAAAAAGAAAGAATGAAAAGAAAAGAAAAAATCTGACGTCAAATTTATTTCTAAGGTCGATCGTTGTTGCTCAATCGACTTTCCAACCATTCCTGTAACGATATTACGATGAACTCGATCGAAATAAAATCGCCGTGTACGAAAAAAAAGGAAAAAACGAAAATGTCTATAAAAGATAGCGTCGCGCGAAGCGCCGATAATGATTCTAATTGGCCGGCGTTACAGCCGCCGTCGGTGTACTGACCTTCTTTGATTTCTTTTCTGGTGAGATCAGCGCTGCCTTTAGTGGCGCGAGCCACCATATTTGTGAAACCGATACCGAAGCGCAACAGCTTGTAATCGTCATCCGCCGTGAGTGGTTCGGGTGTCAGTCCGCTCAGGTGTAAACACTTCCCTAGGAGAAAAAGAAAGAAAGGCCGGTTTAATTGGACGTTAGAGATCTGTCGAGAAAGAACCGGGGCCTGCGTCGGGCTCGTGTCTCGTGCCCGCTCCGTGTGCCCGCTCGCCCGGTTTTTCCAAGGTTCGCCGGGAACCGCGCCAAGAATCTTTGCCGTTTAAGTTCGACCGATATCCACGGGAGAGGAATTTCAATGGGTCTGGGTCAAACATTGTCGACAAACTGTCTGGAACTTCTGACTTCGTTCCGTAAACTCGCGACGATAAATCGGTCGCGTCATCAGCCGAACAAAATGGAAAGTGTGCTTCCCACGGCCAAGCCTTGGCGCCGCTTGTTTTCCCTGCTCGCACTTCGACTGCCAATCCGGCGGCCACGAAAATTCCATAAAAACCCCAAGCAACCCTTTGACCCTTAAGTTATATATTTGCCGGTATTTCTTTACCGTTATTTATCATTGGTTGCTCGGATTTGAACATTTGTACGCTAATCTATTATATCTGTCTTTTTTTTTTAATCTATTATATCTGCCTTTTTTTTTTAAATCTATTATATCTGTCTTTTTTTTAAAATCTATTATATCTGCCTTTTTTTTTTAAATCTATTATATCTGTCTTTTTTTTAAAATCTATTATATCTGCCTTTTTTTTTTAAATCTATTATATCTGTCTTTTTTTTAAAATCTATTATATCTGCCTTTTTTTTTTAAATCTATTATATCTGTCTTTTTTTTTAAATCTATTATATCTACCTTTTTTTTTTTTAATCTATTATATCTGCCTTTTTTTTAAATCTATTATATCCGCATTTTTATGTTATTATAATCCAAGTTTCCAATTTCAATTTGATTTAAAAAAAATACATTTATTGCATGGTATTTTTGCGGTGGATATTGCGACAGTCACAGCGTTAACAATTTGTTGCGCACCAAAAATATTATAAAATTCCTTTGCACGTACATTCTGTAATTACCGCTACTTCGATTTATAGATTCAAGATTATGCTTGAAAACGTCTTATTTGTTAGTCAGCATAAGATTTAATGAAATCGAAATTGAAACGTCAAGATGATACTGAATTACGATATTGAGAATACTCTGTCAGCTTTCTCGCATTTTGCTGATCTTCATCGAACTTAATCAATGAAATCTGGACAATTAATTTCGTCTCCCGTTTATGCAAACAATATTAATCGCAAATATATTTAACGATTGTTGCGACTTTAAAAATCCTGTACCTAAAAAGAACGTATTATTTCAGTTAAAAATTTCCCGATCAGAATTATATTTTCCAAACGTTTCGTTAAAGAAACTTATTGCACGCTTATCACGTCACGGTTTTCTATGACGCGGGGGGTCGGAGGGCGGTTAAAGATAGAAATTCCCGTTTTTGTTCCTGCGGAACTAGCAAGCGGCAAAGAAGTTCCAAGAGTAACAACGGGAGAGCACAATGGTATCTTTCGAGACCTTTATTTGGGAGCAAAGCGTCAAGCTTTGTTCCGATATGACTGTCGATAAAAGACGTATAAGCCCGCGGTCGGCAAAGCGTTAAAAAATCGCCGGATCGACGGCTTAGCATAAATGCGCCGGACAATAGCGATGTTGCAATATGTTTCAACAGAAGACAGGTGTGGGAAACAATGCCCCTGGAAAACGATCGTTTATTCTTAACGTTTGCCTATTCAATCGGTTTCGTTTAACTCGATTTATTCGCGCCCCGTTCATTCGGCTCTGTTGCACGCGGATTGACAAAAAACGATATTTTAGTTATCGGGATTATCGCTCGGGTTCCGCATTGATCAGTTTGGTCGCGCCGCCGACCGTCTTCCCTAATTACGATTTAAAGGACGCAATTTCACGAATACGATCGAAACGATCTCGGATCTCTTAACGATCGTTTGCGGTTCCCTCTTCTTTGTTTCTTTTCGTTTTCATCGTTCAGGAATTTCAATTTCTCCTCGCTGAATTTGCTTTCTATTTTTCTTAGTTTAGTAGGACACGGGAATTCGGAGATCCGTTTGACCAGTTAGCTGTTGCAATCTCTTTCAAAAGACAGTTACAGTTGTTCGAATGCAACACTTTTATAAAATTAAGGGATATATCTCTCTTAACCGCTTAGACGTTGCGGCCTCTTTGAAAGGCGTGCAAAATCTGTTGCAAAAAGTAAACGATGAGTACTAAGCCAGACACACAGTACACAGTTTCTCATGATAATTATTAAGATTTTTTTTACTTGTTCAATTTATATACATCGTCTTGCTTATTTCATAATATATATTACTATATATTATATAATATACACAAAACAAATAATTCAAAATATTCCTTTTCGAACATCCCAAATATTCAAGATATCTAAAAGTTTATTATATTTAAATATATATTATCAACTATTATTAAATACCTATTCAAATTTGTATTTATATTTATTTCTAGTTCCCAATAAATTTGCAATTTAACGTTAAACCCGCCAAGCCGGTCGAAATCACCGGTTTCCCTATACTGTATTTTAAAATTGCCGAAATTATAAAAACCATATCTACCATCGGAAACGATCGAATAAATTTCTTAAAGCAAACATTCGTTGCGGTTGGCGCAAATAAATTCAGTCTTGCCATTCTTACGGAGCAGCCACACATTCCGTCACTTTTAATGCTCGGCAGGTTCAATAATTTATACGCGTGACACGAGTGTGCCCGTCGGGGAAGGAAATATCGCCGTTTGCTCGCGACGAGTATACTCGTCGGCAAGTGGTGACTGGTTAACAGGCTTCCGGTCGGCGGAGCACAGACAGGGCTTCGAGCGCGAAAAGGTTAAAGCCGGGCGTGCTGCACGCAGGACTTTCGGCAAAGAAAAATAATTCGAAGTGGCGGAAACGGGCCGTTTGTTCCCCCGAGGAGCGGCGGGTATCGTATTCAGTGACTCGAGTGTCTCGTTGAAACCGGGCTCGCTTTTCTATAATCGAACGAGCCAAAAGGCTTTCCGACGAGGCGCGGCGCGGCGCGGCGCGACGCGGTGACAAGAGTCGCGGTTTGAAAACGGCGTATCGCGGTCGAATGAGGTGTAAAGCTGCCGAAACTGCGATAATTCGCGGATTATTCGCGTATCGCGAGTAAGCAGGGCCGCGCCGCGGGTTAGGAAAGAAACGGTTCTTTTTTTTCACCGGGCCGCCGTTAATTACCGGTGCATTTTTACCTCGGCGAGCAAAGCGGAACGCGCGCGCCGCCGCGGTTTTCGCGCGCGCTTTGTATCGTCGCGGGGCGGCAATTTAGAGAAACTGCTTGTCAGCGGTGGTGCGCGATGGTGCAGCAGGTGTTACAAAACGCGGCCGTTCAAACGGCTTAAATAGGTCTGGGTCAAGCTTGGTCGATTCTTTTTACCTCGGGGCCCCCCCCGCCCCCTCGGAAGTTCACTCATAAATCGTTCTCGAGCGCCGCGGCTCGCTGGAAATTATTGTCCGACGCGGGCAAATTCCCTCGGACGTGGCTCACTTTCTTCCCGCGGCTTATAAGGGGCCATTCTCCGCTCCGGTTTCGCGATACTTTCCGGCCAACTTGCCGCTCGCTTTTTCGCCCGCGAACGCCCGCGAAACGGTTTTATCGTCCGACTTCTCCCGCGTCGTTTTTATTTTGTCCGCACGGGCTTCGCGATTGTTTCGCAGGCGACGAACTCCGGACAACTAAAGTTTTTCGCGCGCGGTTCGCCGTACGCGTTGGTACCCCGCGAAACCTCAGAAATCGTTGCCGGGCGAAAATTATGCTCGTTACGGGCGAAAGACGAGGCGCGGCGGCCCCGGGCGCAGAAACGAGCATCGAATCTGCTAACGCGCCGGCAATTTCTGCCCCGACGGCGGCAGAATCGTCGCGGCTCGATCGCTGAAAATGTTGCGTACAGTTTCGTTCATGGTTTCGCGGACTCTCGAAATATTTGTACACAATGGGGAAAATGAAAATCGGGCTTGATACGATACAATGAAGTGGCCACGGTGTGACACGAGTATCGAATTTTGGTCGGCCACCGTGAACACGACGGTGCGCGCGCGACCCGAATTTGCGATTTTTTCCTCGCCGCGAGACTGCCCGCCGAGTCCGGATCCGCGGAAATTTATCGTCTCGTCGACGTTTCACCGACGGACTTCGCGAATTTTCACGGATCGAACGGGAACGACGGTCGCGCCGCGTTGCGAGCGTTGCTCCGCCGAGAGAAAAAAAAGAGTCGCTGAACCACCCTAGACCTTCGCGGCCGGCCGCTCGAAACGCCTGTTATCACCGGCAACGGCTAGATTACAGCGCGTTCACGGTCAACGGACTATTCTTTAACGACGCGCCGCTTAATTGAAGTCCAATCTCGTGTAAATAATATCGAACGTAATAATTATCGACTGGAGTGCGCCCTAGAGCACAATAGGGGGGGACAGACACCCACCGACCACCTTTCCGCACGGCGGATACTTGAAACCGCGGATAGCAGCGGACGCATGCTGTGCGCATCGTTGTGCACCCTCTCTATGCTAGACGCGTACATATATTATCGGGTTTCATTTATAAATCAGCGCCGATAAGCCCAGACGCAAGCGCGCGCGCGCGCGCCAACAATCGGCGACCGATTACTTAGCTGATCGAAAATGCGCATAATTGATTTTAATAGGATTACGCCGGCAAATGCCCGACGAAACGGACGGGGCACGCGCGAAAGTTGAAAGTTTCGCCCAGCCTCGTTTCCGGCAAATGAACGATCCTCGCGAAACTAATTTCGTGTGTCCAGTTTCTTGAAGCGTCTGAGCATGGCCAGCTGCTTCTACTTAAACGTGGCGGCTGGTTTTCCACGGTGTAACTCTGGTCTTTGGGATCGAGTGACGTTAATAGAGTGTGCTTTCGCCCGGTATTTTTGGATTCTTCGTTGTTTAGGGAGTACAGTAATGTCTCTCTAATTGACGCTCAGATTGTCCACAAAAATGGATAATTTAGGGAGAGGAGAGACAATTATTCGATCGTTGCGGTTC